ATTAAATAAAGTCCTAACCTCTACTTCTTAAAGCCAAAGTTGTGGAGTAGGTAAATGAGATAGGAGAAGCCTTACTATTTTTTTGATAGAGAGTACCTTTGCTTTGCTTAGCCGACAGTTCAAATTAAGAAACACACCAAGCCTTGCCTATAGTTGTGGTGGTCCTTTCCTTATTTTTTTTTCTTCCTAAGTTGGTGGGAATCAAATAAGAGAAGTAATAGGAAATTAATACCATTTTGTACATTATGACTAAAAAAAGGTGAAATTATTCAGTGCGGGGTCCAAATATGAAGAACCGTCTAGACTGTGAGTATACATATTATGCACATAGTGTGTGCGGAGCCCGGACGGAAAGAACCAGTCAGATTGTGAGTATACACATATACTAATTTGAAACATATTATATACAAATATGTACGCAGTGTATACACTCACATGTCTGGACGATTCTTTCCGTCGGGACTCCACGTAGAATAATTTCTCAAAGAGAGAGAACAACATTAATAGCTTTTGGTTTATTATTATTATTATTAATTTGATATTTTCACGCATGCTTTTCTTATTTTATGATTGAGTAGGTTAAAACAATAAATCAGTCTTACTTCTTTCATTAATTCGATGCTGACAGAGTTAAAAAAAAAGGTGAGCATAAATAGGCCAATGAGAGGAACATTCTATCTAACTATTTGATATTTTTGATATATTTATGTATAGCACTAATCTTAAAGATCAAATTATAAAAATTTTGTGTGGGTATATATATAGTCTACGTGGACGCTGAATGTCGTCTACAGACCAATTAGAATGCATCACGTCAACTCTTCGCTTGGTAAGATTCGGTTCCGTTGACGCGACATATTCTGATTGGTCTCGAACGAAGTTTTGCATATGGTCTCCGCACATAATAATTCCTCCATAAATAGGGTGAAATAATGAATGAAATTAAATATATTTAATGGCCAAATTATTTTATTTGAAGGGCGTAAAAGCCCTTCAGTTATGTCAAATATGACATTGACTACTTAAAATATGCTTTTGATTGATTAAAGTATTAAAGATTATTTATGATCATATCTTATAACAATCTCTCAGATAACTAATTTAAGTTTTTTTTTTAGTTCTTTAAATAAATAATAAATAAAAAAAAATTTCAGCTGCAGTTTTAAAATGATTTGCAAAAAAATAATTTTGTTAAAGGCAAATTTTGTAAATAGAGATAAAAAAGATATATTCAAAACACACATTATTTCTTACTAAGAAACTATTTGGTTGGCTAAAAAATATATACAGTATAAAAAGAATACAGTTAATACGTTGGACTTATTTAAATGAGTATTTTTTTTTTGTTTAATTTAAAATGAATGTGTTTTCAATGCCAAAGATGGTGGCGACAAGCAGTGCTGGTCAGTGGCCAATAGAAGTGGTGCTGGTCAGTGGCGTATGGCGGTCAGTGGCGTGCGGCGGTGGTGCTGGTTGGCGGCAATCAAACGAGCTTGTCTACTATGTAAATGATTTTTGCCCAAAATTTGGCGATTTAGTTCAGCTTAACAATGTTTTACATCTACTTTGTATTCAGTCTTCTTCTAACTAAGCATTTAGAATATTTTACACACATTTTACTTCGAACCAAATTACCAAATATCCCCAATCAAATATCTTAACACAAAAAAAGTAGAAAAAACTATTTCAAATGTTATCTTTTTTACTTTTTTATTTTTTTCAATTACAATAATAATTTCTATTTGATCACTTCTTTTTCATTGCTTTTAAAAAAAAATTATACTAAAAAGCTGTTTTATAATTTCTACAATATCTTTAAAAAGTATTTGGGTATCTCACCTTAATCTGTTAGTTAAGATCAATAAAAAAATTACCGAAAATGAAGCTTTAAGTCACAATAAAAAAATTATAACTACTTTGTTATGACTTTTTTACTTTATTAAAATAAAAAATAAATATTTTATTGACAAATAGTAAGTAAACCAATTAACTGCTAGAATAAATAAATAAAAATATATTTTTAGTGGCATATAATAATAAAAAAACAATTAACTACCACAAAGTGGAAGCTTCGTTTTTCTTCTCTTTAAATATTTTTTTAATTCATCCATCAGGTGATCAGAGTAACAATAAGAACAAATATGTCAAATTGAAATCTAAACTATAAAACTAAGAATAATTAGTTGTGCTAATTATGCAGTATTAATTAACGAAACCAATTATGGAACCACCGACACTTTTGGAAGTTGGAACGTAACAGCTGTTGGGGACCCAGAAACGGACCCTACCCGGTCAAGTTTCCCAGGCGGGGAAACGTCTGGTTTCGACCCGCGAGGGCATAAGCTGTAAATATTGCAGCACAAGTCAGCGAGCAAACCACGACAGCTCATTTCCACCTATATGGCAAAATAATTGGGTAAGGGTCAATTTTTTTATTAGAATATATTTTAACTTTGCGATATAATTTTTTTAATTTTCTAAATGACATTAATTTAAAATAAATCAAATATTAAGTTCCATTCTCATCTATTTAAAAAATAAACATAATAATACTTATTTTTTCAGATAAAGATTTTATTTTTTAATATTTAATACTACTCTAATTTGAGTTGACTAGACTAATTTTGCATTAGGATAGAATTAAAAAAAAGGTAATTTTAAGTCTGTTTGGATAGCTTTTTAAGCGCTTTCTAAAATAGCTTTTTTAAGTACAAAATTTTTTTGAAATAAAAATTTTTATGCTACAAATTTGTTTTAAAAATCAGTAAGAAAAATATCTCAAATGAAATTTTAATTTAAAAGTAATAGAATAGTCTGATAAAAGGAGCAAAAATTGGGAAGATAGAAAAATTCATGTAGGATCTATATGGAGGCAGTGAGAAGAGAAGAAGTTCATGGCCTAATAAGATAAATTTGTTATGACCCTTGGAAGTAACAATAGTTAGAATTATTAAAAATATTCATATATACATATTAGAGTATATGTTTAATATTATAATATGAATATATATATATATATAATGATAATTATATTAGTTTAATTTTTTTATGTATTTAACATTTTTTTATTATTCTTTCATATTGCCTATAAGTAGGGATTTATATATTTAAATTCTAATTTTTTATATCAACAATATATAGAAATAAATGTCAAAATTATCCGGAGAAAACACTAAAGACAAAAATCTCACTTAGGCTAGTTTATGATAGCTTTTGACTATTACTTTGTTGTTGCTTTTGTAGAATTTTTGTGCTAGAAAATTGATGTAGAAAGAAAAAATAAAGCTGTCCCTAACGAAGCCTTAGTTTGACACTTGAAAGCTCAAACATTTGGGTGGTCTAGGCATCTCCTCACTATTCTAAATTATGCTTACAAATGTTCTCTTATATGTCAGTTTTACAAATATGATGGGTTGTTGGTTACATGGTAATATGCTAAATATTTCTCGCTATTGAAATTTGAATCCTATATGCCTACATTCTAGAAAAACCTTAAGTTGATGATGGTGATTGTGAAAAACTACCTCTTTGTAAACCTCTCTAATTGTAGCAAAATATTCCTCTTTCGGGACCCATGGTGTAATGGAAACTCTCTTTATAACCTACAACAAATATATTAAATTCCCCTATCCATGAGCACTTACACTCCACTATCTTGCTTCGTCTCAAATGACTGATAGAACTTCCCTCATGGGTTTCTCAATACTACAATTTTTTTTTTTAACATTTAGGTCAAATAAGGCAAACAAACCCACATATCACATATGCAAAACTTTAAACCCAATACCTCTTGATTAATAGACAAAGCTCCAAACTAACAGATTAAGGAGAGCCGTGTATCCTGATATTGTCACCACTATAATCTCTAATATCCCCTTACCCCCCACTTTGCGTTGCTCTATTGATGGGCATGTCACCTGACTAGGCACGAAAATTACGGCACTTTGTCACTTTATCATTACCTATTATGCTAACAATGAACTTGTTAGTGGTGTAATTGTATATATTTGGCATAAAAACTACTCCTTGCAATTCATTTGTTTTCTCTTGAAAGGTCATTATGACCTATGAGGGATCTTATGAATGTGAATGCTTTAATCAAGAGAAACATCATTGTCCACCCTCTTTGCAAACTCTATCACAAAGAAGTTGAGAGGATACCTCACTTATTTTTTTTATGTTGAATTCCTTATAAAATAAAATATTCTTCAGCTATTTCAAACTATAGTTACTAATAATGTTCCTTCAAGACGATTTGGGATTCAAGTAACTTTCTTATCATTTGTGTTATGATGTATATTCTACGACAAGATAGAAACAAAAAGAGGGTTGACAATCAAATTCAAAGGCAATAATTTATTTTTTTTGGATATATAAGCTAATTGAGACAAATTCATGTAAACATCATCTACGTAAGACTCAAATCTATGACTTTTTGGTTGATAACCAAAGCTCCCAACTAGCAGATCAAAGCTGAGCCACGTAAGTTAATAATCTTTATTTTTTCATTTAAAAATACCAAATGAGCAAAATTTCTTCTTGGAAAATCATTCAAGAAATCAAGATCTTGCTATAATGATATTGAATTTTAAATTGGCACTCTTCATAAATATATTTAATATGTAAATTGTTAACAATTATTTGTACAATATAGTCAGGGGCGAAACCAGCTTCAATTTTAAGGTGGAACAAATACAATACAAAAATAATTAAATTATATATATATATATTTTGAATTTAGATAAATGAATAGGAATAAAATTTTATATAATTTAGAGATTAATATATTATATAAATAAATATAAAATTGCAGATTTTAAAAATATAAATATATTAAAATTCTATGTATGTAAAAGTAAAACTGTGAATTCCAAAAAAAAAATAAAAAAAGACGCAATAGCCGAAAGATTACGGTGCACGACGCCAGTCCGTCAATGCCGTTCTGATTTCGCCACGTGTTCCATTGCATCCTTCATAAAAAAAAGTAAATAAAAGAAAATACAGACCAGTTTATCCCCACCGACTCCATATTACGACTTGAAGACATTCAGCTCTCACAGCCATTCCCGCCGCAGGGGAACCTCATGGATTCCCCACACAACACCGCCGTCCTCCTCCTCCCCTTCATCTTCGCCCTATTCTTCTCCTCTACCCCACCAGCATTGCCCTCCTCTTACCCTCCCTCCGGCGCCGGACAAATCAACTCCAACTCCGTCCTCGTCGCCCTCCTCGACTCTCACTACACTGAAATCTCCGAACTCATCGAAAAAGCTCTCCTCCTCCAAACCCTAGAAGAAACCGTCGGTCGACATAACCTCACCGTCTTCGCCCCTCGCAACGAAGCGCTCGAAAGGGACCTCGACCCTGAGTTCAAACGCTTCCTCCTCGAACCCCGCAACCTCAAATCCCTTCAAACCCTTATCCTCTTACATTTCGTCCCTACTCTAATACCATCCTCCTTCTCCCCCGCGCATCATCGCACTCTCGCCGGAGATAAAATCAGCCTGCACCGCAATCAATCTGGCCACCACCGCGTCGATCTAGCCTCAATCGTCCACCCGGATGCCATTGTCCGACCTGACGGTGTTATCCACGGTATAGATTGCCTTCTTGTCCCCAGATCTGTTCAAGAGGACTTCAATCGTCGGCGAAATCTCGCCGACATATCCGCCGTGCTTCCGATTGGCGCTCCGGAGGTCGATCCGCGCACTAATCGGCTTAAGAAACTGGCACCACCATCCCCTGCTGGATCCCCTCCTGCGCTTCCTATCTACGACGCCTTGGCTCCCGGCCCTGCAATAGCACCCGCCCCTGCTCCTGGCCCTGGATCCGGCAAGCACTGGTTCGATGGCCACCGCCAGATCAAAGATTTTATCCAAACCCTCATCCTGTACGGCGGGTACAACGAATTTGCTGACATTCTTGTCAATCTCACCTCCCTAGCCACCGAGATGGGACGATTAGTCTCCGAGGGCTACGTGCTAACTGTTCTCGCCCCTAACGATGAAGCCATGGCGAAGCTCACCGCCGATCAGCTCAGTGAGCCGGGAGCACCAGAGCAGATCATTTACTACCATCTCATCCCCGAATACCAGACGGAAGAGAGCATGTATAATGCAGTTCGGCGGTTCGGAAAAGTGCGGTACGATACGCTTCGGCTGCCGCACAAGATTGTGGCAAGGGAGGCTGATGGATCGGTGAAGTTTGGGCAGGGGGAGGGATCCGCGTATTTGTTTGATCCAGACATCTACACTGATGGGAGAATCTCGGTGCAGGGTATCGATACAGTGCTCTTCCCACCAGATGAGGAATCGCCCGTTCCGGCGGGAGCTGCCGGAAAGAAACCTGCTGTGGCGGCGAAGGCCGCAGATGCCAAGTTGAGGAGAGGTGAGTAGACTTAGACTTTTTTTATCATTTATTACTATTTATGCAATGCGTTCTAGTTGGTGCGGATCACGGTCGCCGGGAGTTGGAATATTCCGGCGTGGACACGTTAAATTCCATACTTGAATAAATTTTGAATTTTGTTCCGATGATTTTGTTTGAATAAGTGGCGGTAAGCGCACCAGAGGCGGTGTTCGCTTGCTCTCTGCCAGTTTACTGCATGTCTAGCTGGAAAAGCTCCCTCCCAATCCCATCACAATTCACGAGAGCTGTTGGCGGATTTATTTATTTATTTTTATTTTTTATACAATATTTAGTATCTAAATCACATCAAAATTTACTTTATTTTAGATAAAATAATATTAATAATATTTTTAATACAATTTAAATATTGTGATATTATATTTAAAATGTATTTATATATTTAAATATATTAGACCTTAATTATATGTTGATTCCCTTTTTTAATTTTTTTTAAAATTTATGCAATTAGGAATTAACAACGATTAGTATGTTCAACGCCCCTCTTTATTACAGCCCTGAGCCTTTTCAGCCACTGAAGTCTTTATGAGAAGACTCAAATTTACTATAGGCTATGAAATTTAATATTTTGTTAGTAATTTTAAATTTTTTATTTATTTCTCTGATGGCCTATTTTTCATAAATTGGGTGTTTCACGGTTGGCTCGGATGGCTGCTGGCTCACTGTTTTGAACATCAACATCAGCAATTATTACAAAAAAAGTATTTAATTTATATCCTTTACTATTTTCGCCCTACAAAAAACATAGCTTTCTTAAAGATCACATTTTTCCTGCTGAAAGTTAAGTAGTCGCCATCAAATTCGCCCCTTTATTTATTTTCGCAGAGTTCAGAGATTCTCCACCATTTAATATGTTTTAATTGCTATTTAACGAAGTTTATATTACATTTTGAACTTCAGGAAAATTGCTGGAGCTGGGCTGCCATGTGCTGGGTGTCTTGATGGATCCGTCACGCTTTACTACATGCCAATAGAGCGGAAAATCGCCCCTTATTCCTGGCGTAATAACACGGGGATGTTTAAAGTGCAGAAGAAAAGGAAAAAAAAGGTGTTGCTTTTTGTTTACTTTGGATTTAGAGGGCTGGTACTGAAGGTTTGTAAAAAATGGTTTTGGTGGAATTAGTCTTCCTTGTTCAAATTAATTTCTTATACACAAATAAAAATTGAGGCAAACAAAAGCATTCCGATTGTCTATTTGTTTGTCCAATTAATGCATTTGGTTGCGATCTCATCATTAATACTTATTTAAAACCGGTAGGATAAATATATTGTGCAAATTTTTGAGACGAAAATACGGATGGTTTAGGTTTAGGTTGCGACAATATTTTTCTTATTTTTTAAAGCAGTTTTTTAATTTATTTTTTGTTGTGTTAAAATGCTAGTTTAAATGCATTATGGAGCTGCATGATTTGATTATAGATATGGAATATATATAGGGGTGTCAAGTTTTGACACGATCAGAATTGGATCTGAAAAAATATAGGTTCAAGTCAACTTGGTTAGCGAACGGGTTGGGTTCATGTTCGGTTATTAACCCAATTTGAGTTTCAGGTTTGGTTCGGTTTGACCCGGAAACCCGAATTTCCTGCTTACTTGCCTTTCTATCGCGTTGTATGTTGTGTCACTGCGTCAGTAGCGTTGTCAAGCTTGTCAGTCTCATCGAGAGTCAGCTGTTCAGCATTTGGGAGTCGGTCGTTCGCCATTCGGTCATCCTCCAGGCTCCATTTGACGTCGTAAGTTGGCCGGGGGTCCCACCGTTCGCCATTTGGTCATCCTCCCAGCTCCTTTCGTCTTCAACCATTCTCCAGGCTCTGTTCCCCCTACGCTGTTAGCCGTCCGCATCAAGCAACCTCCGCCACTAGCCCGCCATCCACCTTAGTTATGAGCTATGAACGCCAAACATCCAGGTCGTGTCGGGTTGCCCTAGACCCGGGCCGGGTCGGGTTAGAAAAATTGACCCGAATTTTGAATTGGATCGGATTAGTGTCAGGTAAAAAATAGTGAACACGACCCGTTTACATATAATAATACCCATCACATGCGTTGGTAATTCTCAAACGAGCTCGATCTCGAGCTCGAGCTTTTCAAACGAGCTCGAGCTTTCGAGTCGAGCTCGAGCTTGATATTTTCTAAACGAGTCGAGCTCGAGCCTACTAATCGAGCTCGATCTCGAGCTCGAGCTCATTAAGGACTAAACGAGCCAGGCTTGATAAGGCAAATACTCGACTCGACTCGACTCGTTTACACCCCTTTACTATTGTATCTCTAGCTTTATGGCCATCATATTCCTCATTACCTTACTCCAACACCAATTATTGAGAAATAGATAAAAGTCTTCATGCACAAACTAAATCACAATAAGAGAACAAGGATAACAAATATAAGACATAAGTTCACGTGATTTGATGACATCCACTTACATGTAAAATTACAAAGAAATTGAATAATCCACTAAATTTTATAAAAGGTATATGAAAAGATTATGCTTATTGCGTGCTAGAATATACGCGGTGGTAGAGTTAGAAAATATTCGTTTTAGCGTTGCACGAGTATTCAACACACAAACAGAAAAGAGAAATACTGTTTGTCCACAGGCGGCGGGAAGAGCTCCGGCGGTAGTCGAGGACTAGCTTTTTCATTCTCCTCCTCTTCTTCTTCTCTCTCTTTACTTGAGTCCTCTTTGTGAAGAATGAGAGCTCTAGTTATAGTTTTTCTGGAGTGAAATGGCTCGTAAATAGGTGTAAGATCATGAGCAGATAGGGAGTGGTTTGAATGGATGGTCGATGTTGAACCCTTCGATCATGCACCGTTCACTAGACATTTGGAGGTTATAATGATGTTGGAATTCGGCGATCTTGGGCTCGTTGGATTCGTCTCGTCGAGCCGCTTGATTCGAGTATAAGCTCGTTAAAATCGGAGACCGTTTGGTAACTCAAATTGCGGTTTGAACCGGCGGCGGGAAGAGCTCCGGCGGTGGTCGAGGACGAGCTTCTTCATTCTCCTCCTCTTCTTCTTCTCTCTCTTCACTTGAGTCCTCTTTGTGAAGAATGAGGGCTCTATTTATAGGTTTTCTAGAGTGACATGGCTCGTAAATAGGTGTAAGATCATGAGCAGATAGGGAGTGGTTTAAATGGATGGTCGATGTTGAACCCTTCGATCATGCACCGTTCACTAGACATTTGGAGGCCTTAATGATGTTGGAATTCGATCTTGGGCTCGTTGGATTCGTCTCGTCGAGCCTCTTGATTCGAGTATAAGCTCGTTAAAATCGGAGACCGTTTGGTAACTCAAATTGCGGTTTGAACCTTCCAACTGCGCTTCGGGTCCTTGATTCGGACTCATTTGGGCTCGGATTGGGTTGATCTTGGTGTCGTTGGGTTCGTATTTCCAAGACGCTCATTTTGACTGTAAGCTCGCTGAAATCGGAGTATTCGCCGCAGTAGAAAAATATAATATTTAACATCTTAACTTTGCACGAAAATCTGGCACGCAATCAGATAAGAGAGAGGGTGTAGCATTTACTAGAGACACCAAGATTTTTACGTGGAAAACCCTTGAAAAGGGGGAAAAACCACGGGGCCTATCCTAGTATAAAACAGTGTTCGGTACCGTTCGGTACCACTCGGTACCGCTGGGTACCGCTCGGCACTCTGTGTCTGTGCAGACGGTTCTCACCCCGTCTGCACTCCGCACCTAATAATTTTTCCGGGAGAGGAGCAACCTCCTAGACATATGTGTACACTCACAAGAACATAAAAAATTATATATATTATTATTATTAATTATATCTGGATTCCGCACAGAATAAATTTTTTTATTATGATTAACTATATTGCTAAGAAAATAAGAAATCATTATCCTTACTTTTTATTGGAAAAGTAGAAGGCCTCCATTATAAGCGCACCAAAAACTTTATTTTTTTGACACACCCTCTTTATTCCACTCCATATCCTCTATTTATCGCTTTTTAATATGGATTATATTAAAACATTAAATATTCCTCTTTCATGTAGCATTATAAGGTAGTACTAGATGTAAAAAATAAAGTATAAATTAATCTTGAGTTTGATAGTACTAATCTTGAAAAATTAAGTATGAATGGATCTTATGCTTGCCATGTGATCATTTGAGATTATCCTTCTTTTTGAAGGAGGGATAAATGGATAACATTATATCAACGGATAATTAGAGGCAAATAGGTCGATTTCTTCAATTAAAGGATTCCAAACTAAGCAACCTAATATAATGGGTGACTAGGTGTCATGAAGATGATTAGGGCATCCCTTTTTTTAGAATGATGGGGATTGAATGACTTGATGTTGATATGAGACAAGAAGTGCTCAAAGCAAAAACTCTCTTTTGTAGGAGAGATTATTACATGCGGAGTCCGAAAGCGTCCGGAGGTCAATTTAGACTAGGGGGTGTCAATATAAGTCAATATTTGACACGACTTAAAAATTTGACACAAACCCATCTCGAAAAATTTTTGTTAGGGTCAAAATGCACCCGAAACGGGTCGGGTTCGGGGTTCAATATTTCGACCCGTTTCAAAAATTGGGTCGGATTCGGGTTGACCTTTTGACTTGAAATTGACCCGTCTTTGACACGAAAACATGAATTTGGCATGCCAACCCGAGATTGACTCGTTTTTTACCCGAAAAATGAGAATGATCCGTTTTTGGACCAAAAAACTAGTAATTTTTTTGTTGGAAATGGGTCATTCAGGTCGTGTCGGTTGACCAGGACTCGAAGCGAGTCAGGTTCATAAAGTCGAACCGTTTTCAAAGACGGGTCGGGTTCGGATTGACCTGAATAGTTCCGGGTTAGTTTCAGATTTGACCCGTGAGCCCTAATCCGGATGCACCATGTCACCCAATGCACGTTGTATTTGATAACATGGTGCGTACAGATTGACATTTGGACGCATTCGGACATCGCACGTAATAATTTTTTCTTTTGTAGAAGGGGTCCATATAAGGTTTCATTTGAGATAATCTTTTACCATTATTTTTTTTACTGTTTTTAAAAACATTTTGTACTATAAAGTTATTTATTTTTGTGCTATAAAGTTACTTTACAAAGCAGGTTAGACACAATCAAAATGTTTCCTCTCTTAAGAGAAAAATGTATAACTAATTATTTATTTGGGATGACTATAATTTTTTATAAAATTCATTGTAAAGCTGTTATAGTTAAATTAAAAATTATGATTAGATTAATGAAAAACCTCCCATAAAAAATTGATAAAAGTTAAATTTAAGTAGCCCGATTTGCTTCAAATAATTTTATTATTATTATTATTATTTTCTTTTTTATGGCTATACAGACCGAGCCTGTTGGTAAGAGCTTCTCCAGCCATACCGCAAACGACTGTTTGCAGTCTCGCCCGCCTCCCAACCGAACTGCT